ATATTGTCATATATATATATATATATATATATATATATATAATATGTATAAATATATGAAAAATTGATGTGGGTACTCAAATGAAAGGTCTCGATGAGTATGATCTCGGGGTGAGCTTATATCTTTAAAAATGTCAATAGTTCACAAGATACAAAGTCATTTTTTAACTATTGACATTTTTTAAGATATAAACTTAAATTTTAATATATCGAATGAGTTTCTTCAGATTCTCTGATAGCTTCAATTAGTTTTGACTCAAGCGATTTTATTTGCATTGTTTTATATACATTTTCAATGAATTTTGTGAAATTTATTATTTAAATAAATTTATTGATCCGTTAATTATATTTATTTTATTATTTTATTCTTTCGCAAGCTTAAGGAAGATGAGATTAAAAAGTTTCAATAAAGATATTCATTTTCTTCTTGAAGTGGAAATAATTTTATATTGAAGTCTTACTCAGTCATTTTATATTAATTCTTTCAAATTACTTTCTCAAAGCCGATTTATTTTATACAAATTATTCTTCTGTTATGTCGGGCTCAAAGTTCGACATTTTTATCTTATAACAAATGGAATTTAATTATTCATTTATAATTTTATGTTTAAAAACTAATGACAAACATTTATTTTTTATTATAATTTTTTTTTTATTTTGTATTAGTCATAGTTCAACGTTTATCTGAAATTGAAACGATATTCTCAAAGGTTTCAAATTTCAAATCTTATAGTTCTGAGAAGTTTTTTTTTTTATATATATATATATTTTAACAAATTTGAAAGTATTCTAAGTACACAGACCGGAGTAATAAAAATTATCTCCCGCTGAAAACCAGATAAGAGTGCAACGTTTCAAATTCAGATACACGTTAAAGCATATTTCCTTTAGTAATAAACTAGAAAAAAAATTTTTGAAATAGAAACTAAAGAAAAAATTTTAGAAGGGAAATATTAGATTTAAAATTCTAACGGATAAAATTTCAACACATTTTTTTTTATAAATATAATAGTTATTATTTAAAGAAGGATTTTACAATAACTCAAGTAACAATAAAATTAAGCGACAAAAAGTTTAAATAAACAAATATTGAACAATGAAATTCTAAAACGATACAATGAATAATAAATTTACAAATGATCGAAGCAAAAAAAAAAAAATATTTCTACAATTAAATAATTAAATTCAAAATAATCAAATTCGAAATAATTAAGATATGCTTAATTGAAATACATATTTTATTCATACGTTTAAATAAATAATTTAATGCAAAATTTGTCACAGTAAATAATTTAATGTAAAACTAGTACACATGTATGTCTTTGTCTATGCATAAATGCGCTTACGTATACACAAACACATAGATGTATAATAGAGCATAAGAGTAAGAAAGAAATGATATTGTACTCTGACCCAAGTAGAGGGGACTCATGCAACATTATAAAAAAAATCTAAGAGAGAGGGCAAGGGCTCAAGGAAATAGAAAAATAATTGGACATTGTTTCTCCCATCTAGTAAAAATAAGTAACGCCCAAAAAATTCGAGACCTTTACGATTTTCAACAAAAATCTCTCTCGTTGTCCTGACGTCCTAGTGTTAACATCGAAAAAGTTTTTGTAAGTTTCAATGAAACCACGCGTTAGATTCAAAAAGAAATTGTTGGTGAAGTAAATTTAAATTATGTAAAGAAGCAGTTACAATGATATTTAAGTAAGTCCTTAATTAAGATTTTCATGTTTGTTTTAATAATTCAAATCTTTCTATTATAATTTTAGAATATATTTATTAAATTGAATTCATTTTTTTTTATATTATAACTTCAACCTCTTCCCATAAGCTTCAAATCCTTATCTATTAGCCTAACGGCTAGGATAAAAATAATTAAATTTTAGTTGCAAGTTGTACGTAACACTTCCATCTTAATGAATTTTTTTAATTTGTTTCACTTAATAATAAATCTCATATAATTGAAGTTATGACTGTAGTAATTTATTCCAATTGAATTTAATGTCGGAATTGAAATAAAAACAACAAAAGTTTTTAATATAACTCTTTATTTGTTATTAAATTAAAAAAACTTCAATCACTATGTATAAGATTATTTAATTAATTAATTATATAGTAATGATTAATTATTTTTAGCGATTATTGATCCTTAATTAATTAAAGTAATAAAATCAAATTGTTGGGTTTTATTCTAAGCAAAGTGTGTATGTGCGTGTCGTAAATAGACTAGGTTGTTAATTTTTATCAAAAACAAGTACTTTAATAAATTATAAAAACAAACGCTTGTAAATAATAATATAAAATAAGAGTTCGATTATTATTATTTATTATAGAATTATTGATATATTTTGTAATGTTTATTTTTATCTTACTTTTAACTTTATAATTTCAAGACTCATCAATAGAGGTTGTATAACTTCGAGTGAACCTTTGAAGTAAGTCGATTATGTCTCAAAGGAGTTGAAGATCGCATTATAATTTCATTCGTAACCAGTTAATCGAATTTAACAATTATTATTTATAAAGAAATTATTTTTTTCTAGTAAATTAAAGAAATTTATTTAAAATACTGATTATAGCTCATATTAAAAGTAATTATTTATATAATTTAAATTTATTAACAATATTTAATTAATACTACTTACACAGAAAAAAATAAATTATAAAATATATTGCGGGGTGGAGTTTTAACTTTTTTGACATTTACATAGCTGTTACTCTATGAAATTATATTGTTGCTAATGGTTGAATTTTAGCATTCTAATATTGAGTATCAAAAATTAATTATCAAAATCATGAGACTGAAATCAACAGACATTTGTCCAATTTTTGATTAGATTTAAGGAATAAATTGGTACAAAAAATATTCTAGAAAAATTGCACTTATAGTTTTTCAAAATTTCTACATTTGGACTGTTTTTTTTTTAATTTTTTTTTTGCGAAAATTACATAGAAAAAAATTTTAAGTCATTGCGTCAAAAAACTTAGTGTTAAAAATTTTTGTGTTAAATATTTAACACTTTCATGTGTAAATTTAACATTTATTCTGTTAAATCAGCACAAAAAAGTGTTAAATTTTTGACGCAATAACGAAAAATTTTTTACTGTGTAGTTTCTTTAAAAAACTCTCAAAAACTGTCACTTTTTGTTACTTTCAGAATGATATCAGAATCTTGATTTTACGGTTTTAAATAGTATTTATTATCCATTAATTATTATTCATTTTTTTCCATGTAAAAATATCATTTCATAAAAATCTAAGAGTTAGTTTTTCAACCCAGAACAAAATTATATTTCGATTTGAAAAATTGATTTCAAATTTTGAAAATAAACTTCAACTCCTTTATAAAATAGGGTAGTATCGATAAAGTTAGCATTTTATCTATCTTTTGATAAATTTCTGTATTAGATGTTTCCAGAAGTGTAAATAATTTTTGAAAAAAATAACTTAAAAAAAAAAAATATTTCAAAAATTTCTGTAAAACTTGTACATAATCAAAAACATTAAAAAAACCTCATCATTTAGAAGGCACAGTTAATTAATTTATACATACGAAATGTAAAAACTTCAGTTACTAGAAATATTTATTTCTTTTTCGTTTATTATAGATCACCAAAAATAGCTTTTAATAAAAATTACATTGAATGGTGATTAATTACATAAAATAAATTATTAAATTTTTGGAAGAGCGCGAGTGTCATAAAATAAAAATCATTTCTGCTCGATAAAAGTCAGTCTAAATTTCGAACAATTAATATCAATATCATTAAAAATATCTTAATAAAAATATCCATTAAAAAAACAACAGATAAGTATTAAACCATTGACTAGTTGAAATCCTCCATAAAAATGAAGAGCTCATCTCTTCCATCCACTCTCATGAAAAAAAAAACATCTTAAATAACCTAAAAGTTATAATAAAATTCACGGAGTAGCAGCCGGGTCTTGCTCAGTTTTTTTGGAGGATTTAGCAGTCGCAGGCTTAATTTTTCGCTTGGGTGGTACGGGAGTTTGGGAACTGGCCGGTGGTGGCGTATCAGGAACCGACGCTTCGGCATCTAAATTTTGAACTTTTGTAGTCTTCTTAATGACCTTAACAACCTTTTTAGGTTTTTCCCCCGCAGTGCTGCTTTCACCTGTATCGTCTGCATCTTTAACCTTTTTTACCACTTTTTTGACAACTTTCTTAGTAATCTTCTTAGCCTCCCCCGCTTCGCTTTCCTCCGACTTTTCTTCCGAACTCTTCTTTACAATTTTCCTAATGACTTTCTTCTCCGGTTTTTCCTTCTCTGGCTTAACAGGTTCCGGCAAACAACCCGCAACATCAAGAGGTGGGCTTGTCGGTGGGGTCGCTTCAATAATTGTCGGAGTACCCGGAATTACCAATTCTTTCGGTAAAGGTCTCTGTTGTTCTTTAGCCGCTGGTTCTTCAGGCACAATGGCGCTAGTTTGTGGATCTTCTGAATGTTTGGTTTCAATTACTGTTTCAGCTTCTTCTACTTTAGGTTCTGGTGCAACTTCTTCTGTAGTTTTAGGCACTTGTTCAGGTACAACGTTTTCAGCTAAAGACACTTTTGAGGTAAGTTGGCAGCTTTCTGATTCAATAGCTTCAGTCTTTTCGGAGCTTGAAGTTCCTACTAAACTTCTACTACAAGTTCCAGTTGGTTTTTTACTTTCAGTTTCAGGGATTGATGCTTGTCTTCTTACGGGAGTAGGTTCTGGTGCAGAAACTGGTGTTATTGCTCTTGGAGGCGCATTTATAAAGTGCAAACCAATATCCAGGCCGTTTCCATTGGGCTGCATCAACGGCGAAGCTTCTACAGAAGGTGATTGGGCAGGTGGGGGTGGTTCCAGGGGTGTTTCAACGACAGTCGATATCGATTCTTGGATAGGGGCTGAAATCGAGGAGATAGCTTCTTCAGTCACGGGTTTTATGTCTTCGGAAACAGACTCTTTTATGTCGGCCTCCAAAACAGACTCTGCTACTTGGATTGGAACTGGGCTATCAGCAACTGTTCTAACAGATGACTTTTTTGGTGAAACGTCCAGTTTTACTTCAGGCTTATCTTTTGAATCCTTTGGGGTTGTTGTAAATCCTAGTGCAATTGCCAGTTTTTCTTCTTGTTCTTGTTTAGATGGTTGTCGGGAGGTCTCGCCGGATTCTTTAATGCACAGTTGTGGAGCTCCCGAAGTAACGCTCAAAATAGGTTCGTTTTTATTTGGAGCTTGAGATGTTTCAACAGCTGGAGATGATATTTCTTGGATACTTTTTTCGGATGACTTTTTGCTTTCTTCTGGGCTCTTTTTTAGATGACATTCCCCTGCTACATCTTGGCTAACTTCTTTTGCTGTTAGATTTTAAATATTTGATACTTATTAATCATTATTGTTTAATATTAATAGTAATGTTAAGAACTTTTATGATTCATGCTTATTTTTTTATTCATTTTTTAACATTTTAATATACTAATTTAATGACTGCGATATTAATGGAATGGTTGTATTGCTTGAAATTATTTATTACTTAGATGATTCGAAAATATTGTTTAAAAATAGATTAGTAGTAATTTTTTATTGCAGTGGATTCTAAATATATTTTCAAATACCCGCTACATTGGGGTACTTGAAAAAAATTCCTCAGCATTTTAAGCTCTGGTAATTGGATCTATTTTTAAGTCCCAAGTATGTACTTTAAAAAAGCTGTAAAAGCACACAAACAACGGGATGCATAATTCTGTTTTTAACGAAATAGTTTAAATGAGGCGAAAACCATGTAATGTTATGGTTATGGCAATGAAACACTATTATGATCAAAATTAAATTTATTTAATCGATTTTTGTACCAAGAAAAATCTTCTAACGATTTTATTATATAATTAAAATATGAATTTTTAAGAACATAATCTAAGAATTAGAAAAATTTCGTAAATTGTCATGTATTTTTATCTTTTTTTAGTTATAAAATTTTTATTGAGAATAATTGAAGATATTAATAAATATTTTGAATTTATTACAAAAATTTTTAATGATTAACAATTTAAACTTTTATTTAGTTATTTTTAGTAAAAAAATAAAAACAAAAAATTTAATTTAAGTTTATATAATTGATCAACTTTACTTTAGTAATATTATCTAATATTATGTAATATTATTTAATCATAACATTATTCAATCATAGTATTATTTAATCATAATATTATTTTTCAACTTGGTTCAACTTGCCTGATTTATCTTGATTTTCTCTTATATAATAAATTCGTTATTAAAAATAATGCTGTATTGATTAAAGAAGTCAAATAATCAAAATTCATTATATAATAATATATAAAATTGACTTCTTTAATCACAAATAATTAGTAATAAGCCTTAAAAATATTTACCCCAGTAAAGCAAAACGATAATACAAGATGTAGCAATATTATGGCGCCATAGTCTGTTAGTCGCTCTCCTCCGTTCCTGTTTTCAAACACTCAAACTTATAAAAAGGTACTCATAATTTTTAAAGTTTATATTTTATCATAAATAAAAATCTCGTTGCATATGACTCATGCTTAATAAAAAATAATAAATAAATCCAAACGTCATTAATGCATTTTTCACGTTAAGTTAGCGCTAGCATTTTCAAAAATTTCAAATATTCCATGTTTGTTCTAATTTTCTTCAATTAATTAAATTAATCCTTTTATGCAAATATACTTTAATTTTTGGGTAAATTCACCATTAACTATTACAATTTACAATAACGCGTTCCTTTTACAGTTATTTTATTTATCAATATTCTACACTGAGAGCAAAAATTTCTTTTGAAAAAAATGAGTCGTATTGTAACAGAAAATTTATTTGTTGAAAATTTTTAACAATTTTATTTCTTAACTAAAGAAATCAAAATTTTGCTCATAGTAATTTTCTTATTAAAATAAAGTTTTCTAAATGTGGTAAAAAACATTTTAGATGAAAATTCGCTAGTTACATATTCAAAACTTTTTTTTCCAAAATTTTTTGTTTAACTGAGAAATGAAATTTTCAACAAATTTGTTACAATGCCTATTTTTTTTCAAAAGAAAGTTTTTCTCTCAATACATTAATTTTAAATCAATTAATTTTTCAAAAAATTCTCACATATTACATACCCGGTTCGTCTTCCGTCGACGGAGTTTTTCTAATTGGAGGTTTAGAAACTTTTTCTTTTACATCAGCAACAATGGTTTCCTAAAATATGACAAAAATTTTAAAAGATTGTGTCAACATTTATAACTTCACGGAAAAATTACATTATATAATGTAACGTGGCGCTTCATGTAGAAAATTGGACATTTACTGTTTCAGATTGTAAAAATTACATTCTAAAATGTAAATATTGCATTTAAAGTAGTTGTCGTGATTGAGGCCGTCAGATAATTCTAAATTTTTTGACAATATTGTACCATAACAACAACCTTAACCCGTTGAGGTCATTATGGGTCTAAATGACCCAAGGCAATTTTTGAGTTGCTCTTGCTTCGAACATATCATTCAAAATGGTATCTGTAGTACCATCTATTATTGTTTGAAGATTTTTTGAGATTCATAGAAATTTACGATTGTAATTGTACAAATCAATATACTTTTTGAAAAGCTCGATATGACACCACTTTTTTTTTCAAAGTATGCGATATCTGGAGTAAAAACCCGAAGGTCATTTTCATTTATTTTAAAAAATGAGGTTTTTAGTAAAAAAAGTCAAATTTTTCTAGTTTTAAATTTGAAGCGACACTTATTACTTATATACTATTTGTTATGTCATTTTTCCCTTTTTTTTTGTCCGTGTTCCAAAGACAAATAAACAGTATTCTTACTTTCGGTGTACTTTCTTGTGTTTCAGGCACAATAGAAAGTGTTGTGCATATTTTCTTCCAAATATTATCAAAACTGTCTCGTCCCATGTAATCTATTTGTCCTTGTTCCCAGCTTTGTCTCCTCATATGTTCTTCCAACGCAACTTGTTCCGGGCTCCTAGCTTCACCTAAAGTTATTTTAGCCAGCGCTCCAGCAATGCCAGCCTATCGGACAAAAAAAACTTTATTAACAATCAAAACCTAAATTTACAGTCTACTATGATTATAATTTTTTTCATTAATCATCAGCCATGTTAATGTGCGTAATATTACATCAATAAATACATAAATATATCATACATCATGACGATTACTTACACATTTAGATTCTACTTCAACAGTGCAATGTATCTGAGACTCATTTTCATTATTTTTACATTCTGCATAGGGTTCAGGAAGGGGTTTACTGTTCACACTATTTTTATAAGCATGATCGTGACCGTTAAATTTGTTATCTTCAGTAGGTAGGAAAACTAAATTTTCTGTTTTATCTACAAAATTTGACTGATCTTCACGATTAAAATTTATATTACACTTTGTTTGATCCGGTGAGCTATTATTTGAATTATTTATCGCTAATTGCACTTGTTCGTTGTCGTTAATTATCGATAAGTCCGTTTTTTTATCAAAATTGTCAGTACGTAAAATTTCATCGATAATTTGATAACAATTAAAATTTTTTATGTCAATCGTGTAATTATTTTCAATACTAGTATTTTCATTATTACTGTTGTTATTATTATAATTATTATTATTCGAGATTTCTACAGTGTCGCATAGCCTATCCATCGAATCTGGAAAATTTGTTCTATTTTTAAGCGGAATTTCCGTCGATTCTTTATCAAATTCTTCATGATTTTGCTCACAAACAAAAACAGAGTCATTTGAATTAGTATTGACATTAATATCGGAAGGGTGATTAAGAGAATAATTACTATTATTAGCAACAGTCGGTTCTATGTAACTATCCCAGGGATCTTTGAATTCATAAAAGCCCGTGTCAAAAATTTTGTCAACTTTGTCGTATGTTGAGTCTGTCGGTGTGTGATACTCATGGTGAATTGATCTTGAAGATATGGTATTTCTAGATGGTGGAGAAATGGAAACATATAAATTGTGCTCACGTCGTGCCAAAGTGCTGGTGATCTATAAGCCAAGCGTAGGTCATGCCAAAAACAGAAAAATGCATACTAAAATTTTATTGTTAATTTATTATTCATTACAATTAGTTATCGATTAATTGATATTATTTTATTAGAATATTAAATTTATTACGAATTTTTGCATGCCTTTAACACTTGTAAATTTTTTATTTTTGATAAAAAGTTCTTAATTTTTTTTATTCAAAAAAATTTTTCTAAACATAAAAATATTGAATTTTATGTTTTTGTCACAAATTGAATTTCAAATAGCCCGCTTTTTTGAGATCATAAAACGCCACCTGTCGGCGATTTTCAACGACAATGGATGAAATATCAAATACACTATATTTATTTGTAATAACAATTAGTATTGATTAAACTAATTAAAATGGCTTTTTGGTAGACAAAAAAAATAGACCATTATTTTAAAGAAAAATAAAGTCATAAATTATAAGTAAATAGAACAATTATTTTTGTGCTTAAGACATGCAAAAAGTTGAATCATAAAATCATACTTTAAAACAAAATAAAAAATTGAGAAATTTCGGTACAGAAATATTAAAATATTTATAGACTATTCCGAGGCGATCTTGCCAATTTCTCACACCTCGAAGAGTAATTCAATATTATATTTAAAATTTCTTATAAACCGATATTTTATTATTGCGCAATATTGTTTATTATTGTATATTACATAAATAACATAAAAATATCTTACCTCGCTAAAATGCGGATCCCCGTGTTCATTGCTTAGCTTGCGGAATCAGTAAAAGGTAATAAGCATTACAATAATCACGCAAAAATAATAATCATAAGTCATTTTAAAACAACATATATTAATAATTATTATTATATTGGTCTATTATTGGTTTAGTAAAAAAAAAAAAACTTTAATATATTAATTTCACACTTCAAAAATATCTATTAGTGATTTAAAATCATTTTGATTACATTCAATTTGGCATAGTTTCAATTTTCAATTATAGTTTTTTGGTTTTAGTAGAAAGTACCTACCATGACTGGTGACAATTGTGGATGTACATCTTCGCAAAAGATGTTCCACCAGAGCTGAAGAAGGGACTGGAGATGTTGAGAATCCGAAGATGGGTGCACTAGTGATGTTTGAGTGTCAAAATATTGCAACCACGGTTTGGTGCTACCGATGAAATGAATTATTCTTATTTCTGATCCAAATCTGTAGGAAAAAAGTAATAAATCGTAATATTTTAATTTTTACGTACAACTTGTAAACTTTACTACTAATCAATTCTAAAATTTAATGTAATTTCAGTTAAAATTTTTTTTTTTTGATTCTATTTGTTTCAATCATTATTTAGAGTACAAAAAATTAGGAAAATGATTGACCCTAAAGGCCATTCCTGCAACTTCCCGCTCATTCCATACTTAAGCACTCAAACTGCACTCATTACGTTTTTGAGCTCTCCGAGCTCAAAAGTCTGATAGAAGTTTAATAAAACACAATTTTTTGATTTTTCAAACCGCAATAACTTTTGAATAAATGAACCGACTTTCATGCGGTTAGAGGCATTCAATACAGTTTTTTGAGCCTCATAGAGAATCTTTAAATTTGAATTGATCGAACTAGGAATGTTAAAGTAGTTCCGAAAAAACACTTTTTTCTGTTTTCTTTCGACAACGATAACTCACGTATGAATCAACCGATTTTGACCGGACTGGCGACGATCGACGAGGTTTTTTGATGTTAAGAGCCGATTTGTTTTTGGAATCGATAAATAGAGCCGTTTAAAAGTTATTCTAAAAAAACCACATTTGAAAAAATTCTTCACAAACATACGGACATCATCGCGAAAACATTTAAGGAAGCTTTTTGGGACCTCAAAACGTTGAGATCTGATGAAAACTCGATTTTCAAAAAATGGGGTAAAACCAATAACTTTCCGATTTTTTAAAATTTTTAATTTTCTTAGCGGGAAGTTGAAAAATTGAAAATTTTTAATAATTCAAACATTTTTTGAATTATAATATATCTTTAGTAACTGATCCATGCAAATATCGTGATCAAATAATGAATAGTAATATCATAATGCAAAAATAAAAATCCAATTCATTTCTACTGTTAAAAGTAAAATATATTTAATTAATAAATATTTCTTCATTATATACTACGACCACTTTTTTTTATCACAACATTGTACGAAATAATATGTTAATTACATTATTTATATATGAACAGACTGAATTAAACTTTTGACACTCGTGTGTTAGCGCTCACGCTTCGCTCGCTGTGCCAACACATTCATAATCATAAGACTATTGATCAGTTACATCCTATACTGTTATATTGGGTTGTAAATAACTATTTATATCACATTTATGATAAATGTGTCGATTTTATTTGATTGATTTTTCGTGATAGATCACGCTATCAATAACCATAAATTTTACATCATGAGTTGTCATATTATATAGTTAAATATATCTTCAACAGATAGCGCAGTATTTTTTTAATAAAAAGTATTTTTTTTCTAAATTTTTTGCATATTTTTTTTGGCGAAATAAAATATGTGCTTCTGATTATTCGAAAATTTTGAATATTTTTGATATTTAAATAATGTCTGACATTTCTTTAATAATTAAAAAAAATTTGGTCACTATATTGAACGGCCTAAAACTAATTTTGAAATTCTAAATAATTTTTTTTTAATAAAATGTCTTAACAGCCGGTTCCTACAATTGCAGCTTTATATTTATCTTCTAGACAAAGAAAAATTTTGAAAAAAAAAAAACGCTCTTCTACGTAACAGATTTTTTAATTATAAAATAAACGTCGCACTAAAATAAACCCGACCAACGGAGAGTCAAACTAGCAATAAAAATCAGAAATTTGAACCTATAAGTTTAAAATTAAAAATTGTTTCATGATACGACAAAACATTAATTTTCTTAACGAAAAAAAAATAATATTAATAATTATAAAATAAAAATCTTACTGTTTGTATGCCGGCAGATAAGAATAAGAAGCAGTAGAGCACATGTTGTAGATAAAAGGTAAGTGTTTAGAAATATCTTTATGTGCCCAATCACTGAAGTAAAGATTCAACAGACCCTGGTCGCCGCCATCAAATGAACCTTTTGAAGTCGCAAAAGCTGTTAATGATGCGAATGTTTGTTGCGAAGGTTTGAACACAAAAACACCGGAGTTAAAACAATCAGGCCAGCCCACATCTGGAGCTGCTGATAATTCTTCGCGTTCAAAAAGCTCATCACAGTTACGGATCACCTAAAAATATTATATTATATATGAATTTTATAACATATATATTTATTGTTTGGTGAAATATAATGTAATATTTAACTTACAAGTGTATCAGCATCAACAAAGACACATTTTTCGTATTGTGTCAATCTCCAACAGTGTAACTTGGTAAATGTTATTCCCAATTCCGGTCTCGCTAGAAGTGCCAAGTTTGCTTCGTCTTGAGAATCAAGAACATTTACTTCTTTAACTAATGAAAAAACTGCCGTCAATTTTTCCCTTTGAACAACAAAATAATTCTTTAGTTTTAATTTATAGTTCAAGTTGCGCATTAAATTCATGTTAATTAATAAAAAATTTTTAATATCTAGAGAGCCTTAAAATTGACTTAATTTAATAAACATCAGCAAGAATTTATTATCAAAAAATTGTGTGGATCGTCATGATTGACGTCAGTACATGCAATTGATCAGTCTAAATCTTCTAGCATAATTTTCAATATTAATTGTCAATCCAAAAAATTTTTTGTAATTTTTCTCTGTAAATTCTTCATCGTGAATTTTTTATTATTTAATTCAATGAAATAATTATTTTTAATTAATTAGATAAATATTTTGATTATCAATTAAATTATTTTTGGTAACTTACGCAATTTTTTTTTAAATAAATATTTATTTTTATAATTCATTTTTTTAAAATAGGTCTTGCTCTAAATTTTTAAAGCTTTAAAATCTATTAAATAAATACTAAAAATTTTATTTTTAGACTAGATATTATAGTTTGAATTTTATTGAATATAAGCTTTGTTATATATTTATAAAATAATATAATATATATTATAGTTCTAATATTATTAATAAGTTAGCCGGGATTAAAATCAAGTACTCAAAAAATTAATTTTTAATGGATCATTTTTGATATTTATTTTACAAAAATTAACTAATTCTTTAATCTTCTTAGCCTTAGGTATAAATATTTCCTGCTTGGTAGTTATATAAAATTAAAATAATTAAAAAAATGAATAATAATCAAATATAACTAAAGTTTTAATAGTTTCAAGTTTAAGTTAAAGTTTGAGGTCAAACTTAAAAAGTTGGCATCAGTAGATTTGGCGCGAATCAATTCGACCATTAACTTTAAACTTGATAATGAACTTAATTAATTGAAGTGTAATTTAATTTTTTAGCATGATCATTTATGACCGATTATGCAACAAATTACCTCATAGCAGCTGTAACACCTGGAGTGATAAGAACAGCGAGATCATGTTTAGTCCTGACTCGTTTCAATGCATGGGCTAGAACAAGAGCTCCAAGGGAATACGAATCATTGGTAACGAGTGTTACCCATGCGAACCCTGAAAAATAAATCAATAAATTACAATATCAAAAATAAAGTTAATGATGAATGTTATTGAGTGGAATTTTAATTTTTGTTGGATGTCAATGCCCATCAAATGAACTTTAGTTCCGCGTTTATTTTAAGCAAATATTATAATTTGCGATAAAAGAGTTCAGTGTCTTATCAAATAGTTGTGTAATTACCGATTGAAATTTATCATCCCGTATTCCGGATGATACTTTACCATCCTATAAATTAAAACGATTTAGATAATATATTTGCTACTAGAAATTTGTTAATTTATTTTTTATTTTATCAGCACAATTTTTCAAGATACTTTCAGTTTATTATTGCTTTTATGTTTCAAGCTTTGATGAAATCGATGCAAAAGTAATAAGCTGGGAATGCCTTGAGGTGCCAGAAAGAAAGATTCTGAAGAATATAAATGGCATAATGCCAAGTCTTGATATATATTTAGGTGTCTTCAAGTTTAATTTGCGTCTTATGTGCATTGTTACTTTTTAAATATTCTGATTATGAAACTAGTCGTTCCTGCACTGTAATTTTTCTAAAATAAGTCGTAAATTTAATTAAAGTAAAGAATTACAGATACTGAAAAGTTTTTAATTGAACTAAGTATTCATTTTTTATAAATAAAAAATTTTACGGTGTTCACATTTATTTGTAAATTTCTTGATCAAAATTCAAAATTAAATAAAAAAAATTAAGATGTTTTTATTTTTCAGTTTAAAATTTAATCGACTAAGTTTAAAAAATTTTTTGATATTTTATTTATAAAAAACTCGATTTTAGCCAAAATTTTTATAATTAGCTCTAATTTTAATTTGAAAATATTATAATAAATATATTAAATTCAAAAAATTTTAATTATATTTAAAAATTTATTATTTACTATTATATAAATTATATAAATTATTATTATTATTATTATTTACTATTATATAAATCAAAAAATAAAGTTTGAATATTCGAATAATTCTTTGTATAGATAAGAATTTAATCAATCGCACGAGGCATGATATTCAATTTTATCTTAGTAAATAAAGTATTGATTCTTTTTTTTTCTATTGTGCGCAGTTGGTATTTGAACACAATTTTACTAGTGTGAATCATTTTAAAAATAAATATATAAATAAATATATATGACTAGGAAGTATAGGTACAAATTTTGTGGGCATCTAATAAACAAGATTTGGCACCTTGCATATATAATGCCGTGGTGCATCAATTGCGTTTATTAACACGTGTCGACAAATTATTTCGCAATCCAATAATAAATTAGATGTTTCTGGTTTTAAAACTATTTTGCAGCATCAATATTAAAAATATTTTAGCGGAAGTAGAAAATAAAAAAATTCATTTTAAAATCTTAGGAAAAAAAAATTTATTAATCCAAAAATTTCTTATCAATAATTTTTTAAAAAATTATTTTTTTTTTAATTTTTATTACTAAAGTTTTTAATTAAAACAAAAAAATTTTTCATAACTTTTACGATTTGTTTTACTTACATTAATATAAATTAAGGGAGACGTTGAACTCGGAACAATAACTATTCAACGGATGACACCGGTGGTATTCCAATTTTATAGAACATTTTTTTTTCTATTTTTAAGCTTGACGTTTTAATAGGTTCTAAAGCACGTCTGTTATACTGTTAGTAATGTTAATGATTATTTTGATACTTAGAAATTTTTATTTTTGCAATAAATTATCTCAGAAGCTCTTAAATAAAACATTAAATAAAAAATAGTTTTTTCTTCAAGTGCAATGAAATTTTATTTGCAAAGCGTATAAATTTTGTGTCAGATGTTAATAAAAAAAATTATCTGGTTACATGCCCAATAAATCTGTGTGTAATTCTAAAAATTAATGATACACACTAAGATTAAATTGAAACAAAATATTAAAAAGCGCTGATAAACTCTGCCGATTAGATACATTGCGGGTGTTTTTCAAATTTGTTACAAAAGCTTTAAGTAAGTGGCGACTACTGACTAAAATTTTCAAATTTGTGTCTTAATTTACCTGCAAAATTTTTATTTTTTATGCAAGCCATGCAGAAAGCTATGAAAGTTATTTTTTTTTTTTTTTTTTTTTTTCTTGTAAGAGGGGTAAAAAATCTTCAATAAGACACCAACTGGATGAAATATGAAGACGTAGCTGTTGGTAGTGTGGGATTTTTACCCACTAAAAACATCCCCTCTCATCTACGGTACCGTTTAATTACGGTGCAAATGTTAGAATTTAATTCTATTGTAATTTCATATCACCCGGCGGCTGTATCTAATACGGTAGATAAAATTACTATTTTTTACTTGAACCGTTATATTTTTAGTTAAAGAAAAAATTTTTTTTTCTCTTTATAAATATTTTTATTGAAAATTAAAAATATTTATATTAGAGTAAAAACATTTTTTCAATTTTTGATAAATCTTGTAAAGAAAAATTTGGTGATATCAAAAGTATAAAAAAATTTTTTCTTGAACCGTTATGTTCAAGAAAAAAAATTTTTTTCTCTTTATAAATATTTTTATTGAAAATTAAAAATATTTATATTAGAGCAAAAAAATTTTTTCAATTTTTAATAAATGTTGTAAAGAAAAATTTGATGATATCAAAAGCATAAAAAATTTTGAGGATGAAATATATCAGCGATTAGCTTTTAAAAAACTAATATTAGATCAAGACTCAAGTGTGTAAACCCAATTGAATTAGCCTGCGATGATGAGATGTGGGTGACGAAAGAGGAAACCCAGTATGTGGCCAGACTTAACTGAAGATCTGGATTTAAATGTAATCATGTTTCATTGAAGAGAAAAGAGAACAACAAAAACTAACTAAACTCAGTTCTTGTCTTATCCGGGTGGACAGTACCAGTAACTCGTTGCCTTCTACAGTACATATTGAATTACATATAAAATAAAATATATATTTATCTATATATGTGTCTTATGTTTGTATAGACATAGAGAAACTGTAACTGAGCATTAAAAAGTTAGCTTAGTTGTCTCTAAAACCTTGATAAGTTCTGATTAAAGAGGTCAAATTGATTATCGTACATCCTATATTCCTATAAATTATATTGATACCTTGTGATGTATCGATAAATTAAATAGATTGTTTTTTTTTTTGCGTTTTAAATTATGAAAAAATATTTTTTTATACTTTTTCTTCAGTTTTGAAATCATTTGTATGTCCAGTAGCTGGATATAAAATATCATATAAAATACAAAGTACTTTACAGTGGAAACTTGAGATTCAGTAACGTCGCGACGAAGACGCTAGAGCGTCGCTTCCATGCGCTTATATTTACGCACAAGACGTACATTCTCACTCTAATTTTTTTTATTTTTATTTTTTTATTCACCACTATTCTGGCGGCTCATAATAGAACGCCATTTTCAACGAATCCCATTTTTATTATGATTATGATCATATACATTTTAGAGTGCGGCTGAACTTTTTGTTTCAGAAAAGTTTTATGACAATTTATTGGGTGGTAATTTTAAACACCGATAACTTAAATCACACTATGGGTAATTAGTTTTTATTCAAATTCTGGCTAAAATATTGGAGATACAAAAAAAGTACAGGAAATCTTTTTCTATTGGAAATTTATTTCTTTAAAAAAAAAGTTCTTATCAATTTTAGTAAATCTCTTATATTTTAAGCAGAATTTGAGTTAAAAGAAAATAGAGAATTTTTTGGAAGAATAATTTTTGTTTGAAATTAAAATTGTGGAAGTTTTTATGATACGGAAAAATTGTAAGAATTTTTTAATTGAAAAATTGAATTTTTCTATAAAAAATTATCGTACTAATTTTATTGTATCTTCTATTTGCAGATAGAATTTTTTTTTTCTTAAATTCAGATTTTAAATACACAGTAAAAATTTTCTTGTAAAATCAACATAAATCATGTTTGAAAAGAATATATTCGTAAGTAAGATAAAATAACCTGAGATGAGGGTTGAGAGACGTCAATTATTTTCTCAAGTACAAAATGTGAACGATAAAGCAGTGCTAGTCCATATTTTGAACATATGCATACCTGCTAGCTTGGCCTGACGGTCAATTTACATCTTTCTTAAATTTTCATGACTGACTTTTATTTATATGATACAAAATATTGTTATAATTCATTTTTTGCTCATATAATATTATATTTAAAATTCGGATAAAATTTCCAACCCAGAAATCAACATAAAATTTTTTTTTCTTTAAAAAACAAACACTGATAGAAGGATTTCTTAGTATTTAAGAAGATTTCTTTGTATTTAAGAAATCATTTCTTAACATCCATTTCTTAGTATTTAAAAAATATTTCTTAGTATTTAAGAAATATTTCTTAAAAACTAAGAAATATTTTTTAAATACTAAGAAATGATATTTAAGAAATGATTTCTTAAATACTAAGAAATCCTTCTATCAGTGAACAATAAAAAAATTACATTTTGTACAATAATATCGGAGCACTACGAATGAAAAATTTTAAAAAATCACAATTTTAAATCAAATTTTTATTTTAAAAAATTGCGTATTTTCATTAATATCCGGTAAATTTTAAACTGCTCTTCTTCCTTGTTATATTAAGAAAAATTATCAATTTTCTTCTTTTTTCACATAAATATTATATGAAGAAATCGGCGAAAAATTTTAAACTTAAAAAAAATTTATCAACAACTAGTCACAAATATTAATTTTTCTTTTATACCCAAAAATAAGTCGCACTGTTGTGCAAAAATATCAAATAAATTTAAAAATCCTCAAATACTAAAAAACGAAAAAATTGCTTTCATAAAAATATTTACTAGTCAATAAATATTCCAAACAAAAGTTCCGATATAAAATATATCAGTTTCATAATACGAGGTGTCAGAGACAGCAGACAATTGAAAGCATACAAATATTACGGATTATAATTTAAATAATCTAGATTACGAAATATTGCCACCTTTCATCAAATAATATTCAGCAGTAATAATAATACAAAAAAAATATATATTCATCATGTTTGTTCCTAAGATCGGTAAAAAAAAGTCCATAACGAGAGTTACAAAAGGATGAAGTGTGTCTAAAATAGTAAGAGATAAATCTGAGCCGTCTAGAGACTGAGGGCTTTACGAAGTTTAGAATTAACTTCAACCGCCACTAAAATATCTTCTAAAGGTATAATTATAATTATAATGTTTTTGTAGCCAACAGATTTTTAAGTCTGAGTGATGAAGATCAGTGATTAACTTTACTTAATTAAATTGTTAATTGAATAATTCAACTGATAAGTGATATGAGCAATTTGAATGGTAATTTTTCAAAGAAGGGTTAATAGCGCAAGCGCCGTAACATTTTTATTGGTGAGCGGGAAATGAGGCGAGAATGCTGAGAATTGATTTACGATTTATAATACTGACGGAGTTTGCAAGTTTATTAAGAAAAATTCTCCAATTGGTATAAATTTAATATTAATAAATGTTGCAAGGTTTTTACCGAAATTGAATATTGCTTGTTGGTGAAAAATTTAAGTGTTGTAATATAAAAAATCCCTTAAAATCAATGATTAATTTTAAATTAAATTACTTTGCATTTGAAGGTCATTTTATCAAGACCGGTTGCGGGCGACGTTTGCGCACTATATATCATAAGAAGAAGAAGAAGTTACTCTTAAAAGATTCCGAATAAAATTCGTAAAAAGATATATTATGATATTAAATATTTAAAAAAATTAAATTTCAGGTCTTACCTCCCATTTTAAAGATATTTAGTACGCGGTACGGCTGATAAACTAATTCACTGGTCACAAATAATATTTCGAGTTAATAAAATAAGCTAAATGGTAATAAACGTGTGTCTTGTTTCGTTGACGATACACGAGTGGCAACTGGGCGAAACATTTAATCCGTCCTCGCATCTTCTCCTATATGTATTTTTGGGGAATAGAAGTCAACTTGCAGGTTTTAGGCTTATCGGTATGTCGGTAACCTAGGAGTTAACGTCAGTTTATTTGATTTGTATTTGCCATTTTATCGATACTCCGTCAAATAGTACGTTGATCTAATTTTTTAAAATATATATTTATACAATATTTTAAGTAAAAAAATTCTTAACGACGTAGT